TGAAGCTTTTATTGAGTAATGAACCATAGATTCTTTCTCTGGCATTAAGATCTACTCTCAAGTTAAAATACGTGAAATGGAATAGTTTTTTTACTTGATAAAATGAAGTTCGTGATCACTGCTATAATATAATGATGCTTTCTTCGTAATTCTTCACATAGCAGACCTACAAATTTTGTCACCTGAGTACATCAAACATTAATATTTTTGCCTAGCACTTTTTAAATAGTAACTTGTATAGCAATAAGCACGCTCTATAAAATAAATGATAGATATAGTAAATGAACCTGTTGGTTTGATTCTCTTGCTTTTAGTACAATCCTTTTCATTAAAATGCTCATTGTGGTAATCTGTAGGGGTTTTTTCTTAAGTAGTAGTATAAATACTACGAATTTATTTTTTTATACAGTATTTAGATAGTCTTCAGCTTTACTTCAGAGTTATGAAAACGTGCTTGTGCTTACTTTGTAGAGACAGACAAATAACCCCACTATTGCACCATCCTATTAGGGTGGTTATACACTGATAACTGTAACCTGTGCAACTTCCAACCTAAACCACCCTCAACGATATGTCGGTATCATCTTTCTACCGGCAAAAGTTATGAGTCAGAAATTAAGAAGCAAATTTTGAAAATTTGACTATGATCCAAATATGGCTACATACTTTGTTGACTCATTTAAAAAAGGAATTTCATTACAGATCCAGCTGTATTACAGCTAGCGAGACTTTCTGCTGTGACTAAAGTTATATTTGGCCAAGATTATCGTATCCTGTTGGAGGTTAGGAAATAGGATACGATGTGTGAATTTATAAGTCTCATCATCCACACATGAATGTGAAAATACTCTAAGTTTATTCTTATGTTTTGTGAAAATGTGCACCTTTTTCTAACCTGAAATGCTTGAAAAGGAGTATCAAAAAGCATGAACATTTACAAGAAACTCTATTGGCCAGTTATTAAGATCTATCACTTCAATGTAATGCACTGAAGTACGTGTTATCTAACTTAGTCAACTGAAGACCTGAAAATTAGGTCGGTTTCATTTATTTATTAATTCTGTAATCCAGCCTGTTAATTTTTTTATTGTTCTTCAAGCTTTGAAAGTTGTTTTTGGTCATTTCGTTGCCAGGTTGGATGATTATATCAGCACAAAGATGGAGAGCTAGCATATTTGGGGAGTAAATTAAAGTCAAAAGTGGTAAGTCTAAAACCAATAATAGTAGTGCATGGCATATTCTATGACGGAGAAATCCTTAGAGGTTTCACAACAAATGTCATGTTTATGGAGTGGCTGAGTAGAATCATTACTATTTTTAACGAAGCATGAATATATAGGATAAGAAACGGTTATTGCAAAATTCACAGTATCAATTCAGAACAATAAGTTAAGGAGGTAAAACTGAATGTGAAAATTCATTGTTCCTTGTTAAGGAAACCAGAATAATTAGACCATCATGTAAGATCTACTCAACACAAAAACAGCGTCAAAGTGGTTAATATGAAAGTTGCACGATGTTCGCTACTGACAAGTGAGTAGTTCTAAACCGAGCATGTCTACTATTAGTGGTTGCTTTGTATTACCTATCCACATAAAGAGTTCTTCAGAGTTCAGGTGTTATAAAAATATAGACCTTTCTTTTGCTTTAAAAGCTGGTTTGTCAATGATAATCCAGGCTTTCATTCAGATTACATTCTTCTAAATAGAGAACACCACTGATTGATTGGAATGACTTGCAGCTTCTTCTGACAGTCGATAGTATACACTGTAAATTTGAGACTGGAATTTTGAGACTTTACATCAGGTTCATCAATGAATTTCCCTCATAAAGAAAACTCAAATATTTTGCAGTATAGTTTTACTAAACGCTGTTGCGATTACCCATAATATTTGGTGGAGTTAGATTTTTTCACTGTAAAGAAAAAATAAAAGGGCCATCAGGTAGTAAAGCATCTTTTCTGGGAAGAAACGGCTTACACTTGAAGTCAACGAGTGACCAACGTGCCTTCAACAGATTGAAACATGTTTATCGATAATAAAAGTCATGTCACTTGTGAATGTTAGGTGGCATTTACTTAATAACTCAGTCAGTCATCTTACCTTTCAGAGAGAACGCAACGAATCAGAATTGCAGAAGAAACCGCGTTCCTACCACTGAATACAATCAAATGATTTTGTTACCTAGACTTATTTCTTCATGATTGCTGCAGTAAGGCGTATAGTACTCAACTTTATAATTTTTTAAATTGATTATTGGAGCTTGTAAGCATGTCACAAGAATGACTCATTGGAAAACAGTTTAACTAATTAGCTAAAAAAGTATCTGGTAAATCTATATTTTTGATAAATTAATCACTCAATAAATCTGGCACTAGATACGACACACTATTAGTTACCTGTTTTCAGTACAACCTAGGAATTATTTGTCTTGTAAGCCAACATTGCCTATCACTGTGTTTGGAAACTTAGTTTTTAAATTGAACAGTTGGTGAGCAATAGATGTATTGATTAGATTGTCTCATACGAATTTTCGATAACACTACCCTCTTCTTCTCTCTTGCTCAAAATGAACTCATGAGATGAGGAAATTTCATGTATGTGCTCACGTGAAAAATACACTTTCAAAAAAGTATGCGATAAAATTAACTCAGTGTAATACGATCACACAGAAGTATATTACTTGTTTTTAAACACTAAGCCTCATTGACCTGCATAATTTGCGAAGTTACTCATTCCAAACTGCTTAACTTCAAGTTAAACTACCTACAGACTTCATGTGTGAAAAAGATAGCTGGAGTAAAAAAGGTGAAAGTCCATTATTGTTTTAGGATTAATTGAAATAATGTACTAAATTGCTTCATTTTACAGCGCGAAAGCTCAGGAATTCATTCATTGAAGTGACTTACAGTTCCTTTTTACGTAATTGACTTGCCGAAAACATAGTTTAGATATTGAATTCTTCAGCTTTAGTGACAGATAAATTACATCAGGGTTTCATAAGGAAAGGAATGCACTTCATGGCCAGGCTTACTAAGTATCTATAAAAATGTCTAAGTTACCTTCGAAAACTGACAAAAATGACCATAAATGAAGGTTCCGGAGCTTGTTTATGATGTGAAGTAGGGTTGTGTATAGTAGTCATTTTACCTACAGCAATTAATAAGCCGAAAGAAGGGCCAACAGTAACAGAAAAACACTCAATTTTTTGTATGCATCACCACTTCTAGGACTATAAACAATACTAGGGTTAATATTTTAACGGCAACTATGCTCAAACATTTGGTTTCACAGTCTGGAATTTCAAAGTCTCTGGATTATTCCCAGTACTTAAACTAGTAAATCCTTGTTAACTGCATGACACTTTTTGAACGCCTGGTGCACAACAAACATATCACATTATAACGACTTTTGAAGTTGTGTAAGTAATCTTATTAAGAAAAATGAATCCTCTTCATATCATAGTGTGCGCTAATGAACCAATATCAACTTAGTTGTGGATTTCACATACTTTTGCACGTGCTGTAGAACTAAAAACACTACACTAGTCTAGAAATGTTGCAGAGATTGATTTGTGATAATAAAAAGTCAACAAGCAAATATGATGCGTTCTGATGTATAACTTTGAAGTCTTATTTTAAAGACTTACAAAATCCCAGCATTTGCCTCTCCTGCAAAGTCTGCTATAAGCATTTTGGAAGAACTAGACTTTCTTCGTGTTTCAGTTAAGAAATAGTCTTTTAGATTGGTATGTCATTTCATATAAAAATCTCAGCACTGGTTAGAGTGATGAAGTAGTTATGATAAATACCCTTAGTAAACTAGAATGGTTAGTAAATTATTGGAAATAACGATTAAGAGCATGATTTACTTAAAAAAACGTTGTACAGCATAAAAACTTGTGGTTTTCCCCCCATTTAGAAACATTTTATTTGAATTGAACATCACATCAGCATAAACAGTTTTGAATTAACTAAGTGTTACCTCCTTTTGAAAACCCTCTGTTGCACCATCGACGGGGTAAATATGCACCTAGGACGCAAGTTCTTCAAACTTCAGTATATCTTAGTGATTTTAATTCCATAAAATTGTTAGACATGCTTAAAAGATTCATAGTCTGAAATCTCAAAACGCCGTTAGCATTTCATTTATAAGAATGTTAAACGAGCACACTGCATCAGGAAAGGGTTTATTTCGTGGAGTATCTCTCTATCACCCTTTACTGAATACTGTCATGTTCACAGACATATATATGTATATATGAGGTTAACTTTTATGCTCAAATTTTGAATGTGCAAATAAAAATTCAGTTTATTAAATCAGCATTTAACAAACTTAGTGGAACTTCATCTCATTTAACAACTAACTACTATAGCAAGCTTCCAGTTACTTGTCATCCAACTATATTCATGCTTGGAGCTTGAAAGTTATCAGATCCTGGTATTACGGGCTACTAGATAGATTGAGCTCTATAACTTATGAATGGATTAGATGATAAGAGCCATAACTTATGAGCGTTGAAAGTGGTAAAACTGTGTCTTGAGTGGTTTCATTGAGAGATATATTACCTTAGCGTATACAACTATTTCCTTAATGAGAAATTCTGGGCCTAATTAATACGCACCCATACCTGATCGACTTCATACTTTTGAAGATTCTGATTAAGCTTCAGTGTTTGCTGGAGTCATCATTCCTTCAATTTCCGCATCATTCTACCCTTAATCACTTTGTCTCTGTCTGTTGATATAGCTGGATGTAACAACTAGAACTGATGTCTTCTTATGTTCGAGATTCTAACTTGACCTTTTTGTCTACCCACCGCACTTTGAAACAAATTAACATATATTGAAAAACGAAATCACACCTGCACATAAAATAAATACAAAAAACCATGGTGGAAATAATAACAACAATAGTATTGACTATGAAGATATTATTCACCTCTCTACACCATTAAAACAGCAAAAAGATATTCAACAATACGCACAACAAATGCATTACCTGGGTCTTCCTCTAAGCATGTAATACGCGTCCAGATTTTCCATATACTTATTGAATGCATCACTTGTGTAGAATAGGGACATTAGTTTGGCTAATGCTTGAGCTCTTTGCTGTTCATCTTGTACATTTAAATTGTTCGTTGTTTCATTAGCACTTATCATTAATGAACCGGACTGTATTATAACTGATTTTATCAGTAGTATGAGTAGTAAACTCATGTAGCTCATCTGTTTTACGTTCCAACTAGATGAAATCTGGCTGTAAACACAGAGAAACATGATTTTTTTTCTCCTTTACTAATCTGAAGATGTTCTTTAAGAATAGTGTGTTAGGAATATCTATACTTATACTGAATCGCTTATTATTTTTCTCCTTCTTTTATTTTAACTTTCAGCTGGAAAATCTCGTCAGTTTCTCAATATACGACTGAAGAATCTCAAAATTCTTACTCACTAAATATTTATACTTATGAAAATAACTTGTGATTTGTTGTTAACTTTTGCAGTTGTTGAGCTCTTCTTCGTTCTTTGATTGGTTAATTGAGTTTTCATTCTCCTGCTCCGATCACCGACCTTGAAGATAATTTATTTTCTCATAGGAGTGATTTTGAGTAACAGTTTATAAGACATGTGAATAAATGGTTTGAAATCTTTCGAAACATCTCAGTGAAGATACTGGTGACCTTTATTGTTTCTTTAGTTAATGTATCTGTCTCTGTTTAAGTATTCATAGTTTTTATTTTTTCTAAAGTGTAAGCTAAGCAGAACTTCATATATTCCAATTTTCTTTCTTTGGCCCAGATTTACTTATATTCTACAAAAGAAATGTGATCAATAGACCGGTTAGCCCAAAGTTCATTATGAGGATATCATGTTTTAACCATTTATCGATTTACTTATCTTCAAGACAACATCGGTTTCTGAAGGTTAAAGACAGAAGTCTGAACCAACGCCAACAACTGGCGTGCGAAACCAAAGTAGTTCAAAAACTGTCAACCTCTAACAAGAAGACTGATAACGCTGTTTAAAGGGGTCGAACTTGAGCAAGTACCTAACTTCGTTGAAGTCACATTGGGTTTTTACTTTGAATACAATAGTTTAAGTCTAGTAACATAAGAATGCTAAGGGTTTACATAAAATTGAATTCTTTAGGCATATAACTGTACATTCAGCTAATTTTCGGATTAAACTATTTATTATACGGGATTTTGAGTAAACAATGGATAAAAGACAATTAAGAATACGGATTATCAGTTATAGTTGCATAAGACGAAAAAATTCATAACAGGAAGTGAGTGACTATTAAATACTAGGTGGAATAAAAAATGGGACACAAAAGTATTAAAATGTGAACCAGAAATAAAAAAACGCTAGTTTAGAATAATGTGGCATATGTAAAAGCTAGTCTACTCATTGTTTATCTTTTTGGATAGGCATGGAAGCACATGTGAATGAATGAGAACGTTTCGTGCATAGAGCTCAGACTACGTTGTTTTTATTGCAATAGCTTCAGCAACTTCAAGAAAGTGAAATCGAATTGCTAGTGGCATTCAACTTGAAATGTTGAAGATGAATAAAAAAGTAGATCTGACGTCAACATTGTGACCGGTGTCAATTAAGTAGGACTGGATAAGACTTCAAATCTTCTTTATCGCTCCTTTTACTAGAAATATCGGTAGACAATAATGATAAATAGTGGCTAGTAGCTTAATCCGGGATGCGCGTTTCATCTTATTTCAGACTCGTCAGCCGGATGGGCCTGCCTCTCTGTGAGCAACGTTGTTCCCACCAAGACTCGGACTCAGGACCGTTCACTTCAAAGGCCATGGCGTTATCCACTAGGCCACCAAGTTACACGAAGTAGCAGCCGTAACACGTTGGCCTAGCGGATAACGCTCTGGCCTTTGACACGAAAGTTTCAAAGTTCGAGTCTTACTGGGAACGATATTGCTCACTCAAAAGCAAGTGCATCCAGCTGATGATTCCCAAGTAGGTCGGAATGCGCGTCAACGATTCCGCTGGTGCCACTATCCATCATTATTAAAAAATGGAACGAAAGACAATATCCAGAAATCCACGTAAGATCCCGTATGCTGAAATTCGGTCCAGTCAACGACAGGATAATAAAATTAACATCATTTAAACCACACCTGTAGCACAAAAGGTGGATATCGTAACTCGGTGGTCTAGTGGATAATGCTGTAGCTTTTAAAGAGAAAAGTTCCGGATTCGAGTCTTGTTGGGATGGTGCTTGAATGTGGCTATCAAATCCTCTGACTCTTTATCCATGAAAGCATTAAAAGAAATGCTTCTCATCCTATCAAACAAACACTGAACTCATTTCCATTCTGCCATAGTGGAATGAAACTATAAAAGTGTCTTTACTTTTCACTCTCAAGAAGTTTGCGGTTGTGCTCTTTCTAAATTCCTACCTAGTTAGCACTAGCATTTGAGAAAAGGATTTCTTTCTCACTCTTCAGATCCAGTTATCTGTGGATGTGATTGTTTGAAATTCATTAGTTATTCATTCTCCCTTTTCTTCTGATAGGAAATAACAAACATGTTTCCCATATATCCGCAATAAATATCTGCTAAATTTTGATATAGCTTAAATGTACTATTTTCCAACTTTGACAGATACAGACCGAAAAATAGGGGTCTAATTGCGGAACCTGTTGCTACCCTATACAAATCTGTTTGCGTTATTATTGAAAAGAAACTGTTTGATCAGGAATTTATGTCAGCCTCAGTATTGGGAGTCTTTTGAACTTCATCTGTTAATCGAATCTAATCACAGACCAAAACAATCAGAAGAATCGTTGAAAATTGTGTTTCTTCCCAGTGGTTTTTCTCATATTTTAAGGTTCCTCAGCGTGTATCTATGGCCTTATTAGAATTTAGCATAAGACCGTCAGGGATCAGTGTTCAGTCACTGAGTTGGCGTGTGATGGTTCACATTTTTCCGCTTTTCTCACTTAGTAATATGGCTAATATATATTTTATAACAAACCGAAGAACTGCAGTTATTTTGCTATTTGACCTAATAATATTGACAACCTACTGTTTGGAACTCTTTTTCTTATCTTTCTTGAAATAGCTTTATGAAATGTAGATGGCTATGTTTAGAAATGAATAGGCATCAGAAGGATTTCAACAATCAGCCACTAAAAATAATTCGTGAGCATGTAAACTATACCCACTGTATGCTAAAAAGATCTGGACGTAAACGAAGAGAAGGAGAAGGAATAGGTTCTGTTCTGATGACGAGGCAGCTGGAACACGTTTCTTATTCTAGTCAAACCAGAAAAATTCAATAATATGTAAGATGACGCAGCAGTGAGAAAATCAGTTGGAAACACTTTAAAATATTTAATGTGAAGGGAATGAAACTCGGATTAATGAACATGAAAATTCAGAGCAAGAAATTTTTATGGAACTGAATGAATACAATTAAATTAGTTTTGCGAAACACACTCAAACCTTTAAAAGATAAAATAACCACTGAAAACCTCCGGTTACTGCTCGTATGTATTAGCGTGGAACGTGCGTTTTTAAACAGGTCACAGTAGATTTTTTCTCAAGAACCGAGTGGATAACGAAGACGAACCCCACCTTTTATCATACTTAACTAGTGAACGATTTGTCGATATGATGCTCAGAAGACTGATTATCTCAGTCGGTAGGCATCTCCATAATGATGTCTGCAGAAATAATCACCGACTTTAGAGTGGTTGCTGATTTATTTATATGTATGTAAGCTGCTCTGTGTATTAGTGAATTTTTGACTATTTTTATCCCAGTACAAAAATAATTATCATCCTTAGCAGATTACTGGTAGAATTTATAGCATGTGCTTTGTATTCATTTTAATTTGCATGTTAAAATTACCTAAATATACTCTAATGATGTCGATTAGACATGCAGTGTTTAGGTGAACACAAGGGGTTATTCGCGCAGCTGCTGAGAACACAATAACTAATTAATGTTAAACAGATGAAGACTTTTCATAAATCCTGGAATTCTCGGTTGTTCCTTTTTTAATTGGAATGAATCGCTCAATTAAAATTTGGTGACAAATCTTAAGGAGCATGTTATTCTTTTCCTGTATCTTAATTTCATCTACTATAAAACCATACCATACCGAATCATCATAGTTTTCATAGAATTACTTTGTAGTTGTTTGTGTCGATCTGATTTCAAACTATTCCATAGAATGTTACTAGTGATTCAGTTCACGATACTCTCTTTTTTGAGGACTAAAAATATTTCTGCAATTTAATTAGCAAGGAAAAAAGTACGCAAACATAAAAACTAGACAAAATATCCTCAGTCTACCCTATTTAATAGGTAAAACAGTTTATAACTTCCAAGTAGACTGCAACTGCCTTGAAATTGAATAGCCTACCAAATATTCAGAGTTCCAAAGAATTCATTGTTCACCTGATTTCAAACAAACAGATATTCATCTACAACTATTAACAACTAGATAGTTCTGTTTTATTTCAAAGAAAAATATAAAATGTCTAAAAAAATTAGTCAGTGGGCGAAAGGTATCTGAGAGATTTAGGAGACTGAGTTCTTTATGGAAATGTGAACACCTGCAGCTTTACAATAAGAGAATGGAAATAGTATTTATTGGAGCCATTAACTTCCGTTTTGCAGACTGAATCTCATAGTAGTAAAAATAACTTATTTCTAGCATTTTCGCAGAACTTGGCTGCAGAAGTGATGCAGTGAACTGCTAAAAAGCTTAGAAATTAAAAAAATATCATTACTTTTCGTCAGAAGAGCGGTTTTTACAGTTTATTTGACGAGCATTTTCAACGTGAAAAGTGAACTTAGCGGTTTAGTACATTTTGCGAAGAATGACGCGCAATATATCAAGCTTTTTCAAACAGTCTGGCATGGTTGAGCTGCCAAAAACGGAAAATATGCTATCGTAAACCATCGTGTTATCATTTGCGTTTTAAGTTACATACCTCACATAATGGTGTGCTGAGCCAGTAATTTGTAAGCAGCCGGCTTCAAGCGTGTCATGACCCATATCAACAGAAAATCGGAGAAGAAACATGTCGTTTACGCTATAATGGAAATCATTAAGCGACTCACAGTGGTTCATCTATTATGCTTTTGCATTTCAGTACGTGTAGTATCAAAAGAATGAAAATAACGCGCAAATGTCTCTTAATTGTACACATATTAATATGACTCTTAATACCAACATGGCTTTATACCATGGTGCATTTTAGGTGTTTCAGAAACTCCCAGTTGACTACTTCATTTTTTTGAGATTAACATTCTAAAAAACTAAGCGGTACACTATTCCTGTTTCAAAAGTAAAATCGTTTCTGGCATAATAAATCCATAGGTAAGTTATCATCTTTACTGTAACCAGTTTGGTCACTATAAAGTTCCAAG